ATGGCCCCTGCACAAGGATGACACATGTAGTCAGAATGGATTCACCCACGGGTGAAGATTTTTTTTCCCTGCGATTTCCTTCTTGACCTCACCGTGAACACCGCCCGATGTGCACATCGGTTCACACCTATTTCATGATACCTCGACTCGACCTTTCTTTTCTGGGGTGGGGGATCACTTCTGTCAGTCAGTAACTTGGCTGCCGGAAACTTCACCAACTCAAAAGGGGAACCCGCTTAGGAGGAAGAATTATTGATTTGCACCAACGCATAATAGTCAAGTGACACAAAACAAACGAACGAACGACAACAACAACAATAAAAAAAAGACAACACTGATGGGGGAAGCACAACAAAAGAGAAAAAGAAGCTGAACAGTGCGATATCATTGACATCAAAGCATGGAGAACGAGGAGGAGGAAAAATGATAAAGCCTAAGAAAATCTTGTGCATACGTTTTTTTTCTATTATTTGGGAGAGCTGAGCTTACAAGTTGAAATGATTCTGTAATTAACACGATTGGAAAGAGGGAGATGGGGAAAATGTAATTACTCGGGAAACCTTCTGAATTATTATGAAGAAGTTTGCTTGAGTGGGATTATATGTAAAGGAACAACAAGGATATGAAGACAAGGAGAAAGAGACAATGACGAGAGTGCGAATAGCGAAGGATTCCTTTCAAGTGAGTTTAGGATGGGCGGTGAGGATGGCGGAAGTTTTCAAGCTCCAGCGTCTCAAGTTAGGTTCGATTTTACTGAGGCGATCCGCGTCGGGCTTCAAGAGGACCCAGCCAGGACCACCGCGGGAATGACACTTATCGGGTAGGGGATCATGGACATCATCAGTGGGCGAGCAGGAGGACTGGTCGTTCTCGTCCTCGGGGAAGCTGGCCAACTGTTTATGCTTGCAGGCCAGGTGCACGGGCATGCTGTTACGTCGACCGTTCGCAAAATCGCTCATTGATCGTGACTTGTTAAAATTGGTATGGTCCTCCAAAATCCTTACTCTTCGGTCACTCGACCTCATACGCAGACTCCCAGTCAGGCTGCCATCCCCCATATTCTCCCCAGTAATATTCCCCTCATCAATCGAGTGGTTGAGAATGGAAACTAGCCGGATCGTGCTGTTGCTTGACCATCGGTTTCTGCGGCCATTCATCTGCGAGGACGAGCCCTTGGTGGGCGACGTCTTTGGCTTCGGCCTGCCTTCCGTCAGGCTCTTCAGGAGAGGACTGGATCGTTGGCGATTGGCAGTTTCCTGGTAGATAGTGTGCGAGTTCGTAACTGGACTCATTGATGCAGTACATGGATTGGACCCACCACTCAGAATTGACTGGGAGAAACTACTGAGATCCAGACTGTTTTCGGTGCTTGAGCAGAAGCCCATCTCGCGTACCAAGTCATGATTTCGGATCTTGCTGTCTGCTTGCGGTACGGGCGGGCCGCCAGCTTCTTCATCTGCGATGGCTTGATGATCCTTCAGCTCCTTGACTTGTTGAATCAATTCATCCATGGTGAAATCCTTTTGGATCGGCGATGTAGCTTGGCTTCCATGTGTAAGACCCTTGGCTCGAGGAGTCATGTGTGGATCAATGAGACTACGAGACAGGTGGTCTGTCTGCTTCCTCTTTCTTGGGGTGCTGATGGCTTCTCCCAATACAACATGAACATTACGACTCTCGACTCCACTTGGTTGCGTTGAGCTACCGCTTGGATACACCTTACGAGCCAGTGAGGATCTGCACTGATGTGATGGGTTCGACTGCTGATTAGAGATAGTTGGCGTATTTGGTCGGTCCGATTGATGGGTGTTGGTGCTAGAAGCGGTTCCTTGAGTTCGCCCAGACACAGTAGATGTCCGGGAAGAGTTAGAGCAATTAAAAGGTTTAGGAGGGCGTTGAGAAGAGGGAGGATAATTCTGAAGCACCGTATCTAGCAGACCGGGAGGCAAGTCGGAGTAAGAATTTTGACAAGGTTAGCGAAAAGAATAGTAAGAGCTGAAAGCGTACTCAATATGCTCGCATTGTGGCAATCTACACTTCTTCTGGTCCGCGGGTCTGGGTACTTGCCATAGTTCGCCTTCGGACTGAGCCAGATAGAAAAGAGTCACATCAGACTTTTTTTAATCAAACGAGTAGGGACAAGCCGACGATGGTAGGACTTACCTGCCAATAGACAGCGGCATGTTGTAGTACTTGGTACTACCAGGGGTCTTACGAAGCCTACTTCGACCCGAGGTTTTCAATTCATTGAGAAACGTGGCCATGTCTGGAGCTTGATTAGCAGCTGCGGAAGGTCTGGTGCTACTGCTGCTACCTGGAGTTACGTGTCGATGAAAGTCATTGATTGAGTTTCTGAACATGGTGCGAATGTTCGAACGTGACTTTTTCGAGGATGAGGAGGTTGAGCTGGTCAGATCAAGACAAGCTAGATGACAAAACGAGCAGCGACTAACCACGACAGGTCCGATTTTGGAGTCCCGATTAAGCTTCTTCAAAGTCTTGGCTCTAGGTGAACTGAAGAGGTCAGCTTCTAATTCCCGGTCACGGTTCCAACCAGTGTCGGCGGTGGAATTGACACCTGCTGGAAGTGGATTTAACAAAAGGAAACGATAAGCTGATGAAAGATCAGGCGAGTGATGCCACTGCGTCAAATGCCTACTTTGATGGCCGACACCATTGCCAGATGAGCTTTCGGCCAATTTGGAAGACTTGACTCCAAATAAGTCATGCGCGATGCCGGATATTTGACTCCCAGAAGCGACCTTCTTCTTATGAAGCCATTTCTCCGCTTGAGCCGGTGTGGACTCACCAACAACTTCAGGGCCATGACCGTATACACGAGAAACTATGAAGGGAGATCCCCCAACGCTTGCGCCATCGCATGGCCTTCTGACGACCACCGGCGAATCTGTCATGCCACTGCTGCGTTTGGAAGTTGGTTGGTTGTGCGACGGACTGATAAGCTGACAGCGGCGACCCAAGACGCGGGATGAAGGTACCGGCGACGAGACATGCAGCGAAGCGCGCGGGGAAAATATGACATGAGGGCTGCCACTAGCCTGCCTGGCGCGTCGTTCAGGTTGATTGAGCGACATGTACATTGAGTTTCTTTGAGCAGACTTGGTCTTCTCGTTCTCAAGCTCCTGTCGTAGTCGATTGATTTCACTCTGAAGAACTCGAATCTTCTTGGTAGGTGACTCTCCAGTATCTTCTGTGTCTGTGGTGGGGCCTTGTGAATTATGAGTGGGATGACGCTTGTGGTGGGCACCACGGGACAAGCCAAGCTTCTTCATCACATTGGCTTTGGGCTTTGGGGTAACATTGAGCAGCTTGCTGGATGAGAGGTCGATAGCCGCAAGACCCGGCCTTCGGAAATGGATCAAATCGCTGCGATGCAAAAGTCTTTTGCGTTTCCGATTGGGTGTTTCGTACGCCAGACCTTGCGCTTCTTCTCTTTCCAAAAACTCATACGAGTCTTCATGCCCTTCGTCCACTTCTTGGATCAGGTCTTGATGGTGAGCATCACGAGGGCTTGGAAGGGATTTAATCATTTTGTTTGGAGCTGGCTCAGATGGTGGACTGCTGCAAAGATGCATGGTGTTGCTCAGCTGACTTCGCAGCGTATTTACCGATGAGGTGGTGTTGGTGAGAGAAAAGCTCGACTCTTCGTTGACGGCGTTTTGAACTCGGCTGTTCGGGGGATCAACGGCTTCTTCCAAAGGTTGCGACTGACAGTGCTCTGTGTGACCAGTCGGACAGGCCACAAAAGCACTTGCAATGCTGCCAATAGATGGCGATGAGTTAAGCGGGTCGGATTCTCGAAGGCTGTGGAGGTGTGATTGCAAGGAGGAAGTTGATGGTGGGGCTTCGAGCGGTCTGCCAACAATCTCAGCCAAAGGAACTTTGCGACGAGAAGCCAGGATGGGGCGATGTGATACAACACGACGACCGACTTGGATATCAGCTGTTTCTTCGTTGTTGAGATCAGAGTCACTGGTGAGGAACTCTCGGTCGTTATCTAAGGGAGAGAGGTGAGGCGGCGGGGAAAGGTTATTAAGGCTATTGGTGGTCCCTTTGACCAAGGTGCGCCCGTAGGCCGCTCCAGGTTGGTAGCACCCGGTTCGATAAGTGGCGAGGCCGGTATTAATGATGCTTCCCACCGAAGAGAAACTAGAAGCACTGAGGGTATTCAGACGACAAGTGCTGCGCGGGGATCCTAATATCTTGGTATACCGGATGCGAGGGGACGGCATGCTGCATCCGCTGTTGACACGTGCGGCATGTATACTGCTACTTTTCAGATCTTCGAGTGAGTTCATACCCATTGAGTTGAGGCAGGTAAGCGAAGTCTGGTTGGAAGATCCGCGGTTGGTATTGAAACCACTGTGAGTAGAGATCGACGAAGAAGCCTGCCACGTCGACGAAGACTAGAGAATTTTGATTGTGATTAGTTTAACGGTAAGGATCACACTCATCAGATCATCAAACGACGTACTACATCAGCATTTACCGATGAGCCAGGGCTATCATGAGTTGGGTGGGTACAAGAGTCGGGGAAGAGAACA